GCCCGCGGGGCTCGGGGTCTCCCAGCTCTCCGCTCCCGGTTCCATCAGCCCGCTCCGGGCGTCCCTGCCTGCGCCGGCTTCGCACTCGCCCCTTTCCCCGACCCTCCCTCCCTTCCTCTGCCTTTCCTTACCTGCCCTCTGCCTTGCGTTCTCCGCACCCGCTCCTCCTCTGCAATCTCCCCTTCCTCTCGCTCAGCAGTTTCTTTTCTTTTCTTTTGATTGTTTTAGCTTCCTGTAGGGCGCGTGCCCTCTGCGGGGAGGGCGGGAAGCGAGAAAGCACCCTCCCCCCCAGGAGGATGGTCACCCCGTAATCCTTTCTCCTCTCGGGATTTTGCGCGCGTGGAGGCACAGTGCCCCGGCCTCGGTCCGGGAATGGAACCGCACAGCCGGCCCTGCGGGACCCAGCGCTCGCCGGTTTCCTTTTCTTAGTGCCTCTCCCACCTTCCCACCTCCGCGAAAGGACGGGCTTCTCCGCTCCAGGACGGGACTGGTAGCCTAGTGAGCGCCCTTGCTCCACCTCGCAGGGTTTCCAGGCCGGAGTCCCGCCTGGGCACTCCTACTCCCTGGGCATTTCAAAGGCCAACTTTTCCAGCTCCTTCCCAGAGGCCGCGGTTGGGGGAACAAGACCTGTGTCAAGTTTCCAGCTATTAATCTCACCAGTCCCTTTGGAACACTATCATTTTCCTCTATCACTCTCACTTTTAACTTCTGACGGCTCTGCCAAGCTTACACGTTTTGAACAAAGAGCTGGTTAAATAGGGTGCCAGGTGCTGCTGGATGGGGCTCAGGCCTGGGGGTACAGAGGCTAATCCCTGAACACCAGGGGAGGGAGAGAGGGGAGAGTGTGTGTGGGGGTGAGGGGGGTAGGGGGAGGTGGTTGACCTCTGATTATGAATAGAAATGGAGAAAGTAAAACCCTAACGGAAACAATGTTGTTCCTGCCTCTCCTGTAGGGGACCCTAGCGCCTCTAGGTGTTGACCCTGAAGGCTCCAGCACTCCTGGGCTTCTGGAAGGCAGAAGAGGTCTCTGAACACAGGCTCTGCTGCTTATCATCAGAGTCAAGACCTTAACCTCCCAGCGGCTCAGTTTCTTCATTTGTAAAATAAGGTAACAGTTTCTAGAATATACACTCCCTGAGGCTGGGACGGACTCTTCTTCCTAGCCGAGGGCCCTGTGTGTTGGTTTATAAATGTATCCTCTGACGCCTAGAACGCGTGGGCGCTCAGTAAGTGCTCACCAGGCCAATGGCTTCCTAGCGTATCATCTGTTGCAAGACTCTCCGGCCTGTGCTGAGTCCACGTTCACATGGTAGCCATTACCTACAAGCACACCACACTTTAAGGTGTCAGCCCCCAAGGTGATTGAGCCTTTTCTGAAAATCCCCTTTTCCTTTGTATAGATCTGTCCCTCCATCGGAGAAGTCATTGTCTTGTTCCTCTAACTCCACCTGTCAACATTCGAGACCCCAACTGCGGTCCTTGCTAATACCGTCTTGGATGGCTTCATGCAGAATCAGCGCCCTTCCTCTGCCCCATGCCTCCTGTGTCCTGTTGTTCTCACATATGTACATGCTTGCAGGTGGGAGGTCTCGGAAATGCTTGCTGCATGGCTTGCTATGGACCAAGCATCTCAGCAGCCTAAGGAAGAGCGAGGGAGGGCTCAGCTGGGCGCCAGACTTCAATCACACTTGTCCTGTCTCCAAACGTGGACCTCCACAGAAGGCCAGGAGCCTGATGACTTCCTCCTTGCCCTGGCCCTCCGCTGACTGTTGATGTGCTCTCAGACTAAACCTGTCTGCAGCGAGGCCTCGGCCCCCTCCTGTGCAAAGTGAGTAGTCTGAGCTCCTCAGCACGGCTGTCCCTGTCATGGACATGCCGGGCAACAAGGGCATGTGCTGTGGAACCCTCCCGTGATTGCTGAGTTGGGGTGTGAGCAGCGCGTGATGGGTAAACTGAGGTACACCATGGAACAGCAGAGACATTGTGGAAGGGGTGCTCCCTGGATGAGATGCAGTGCCTTGCGAGTGTGGGTGGGAATAAGGAAGCAGAGTAGGGGAGAAGCTTGAGATGGGCGGTTGAGCATGTGTGTGTACAGTGTGGCTGTGTGTGCGCGTGCGCGCAGAAAAGCCTCAGGAATGTGGTCTCCAGCAGCACGAAGCCATAATTAGCTCCTGACTCAGCGCTTGGGTATGGTAATGCAGTGGCCGGTGTGCTCGACCCTGACACCACGGGTGGGATTCTTAGCACGGCTCTTCCTCGTCCTCATCTAGCGAAGGAGGGTGCCTGGCCTGGATCTCTGGCTTCTCCCTTACCGAAGTCTAGAAAGCTGGGTCACGGTGCATGTTTCTGTAAAACTCCTCTGTCCTCCTGAGCCATTCATCACCGGAGTTACAGGGTTTTCTGCTCTGGATTGTCATCCTGATCTCCATCTCTAGGGCCTGAAATAGCCCATGCAGGACAGACTGAGGCCTCCATAAGCCAGCAGCTTGTCTGGATTGTAAACGACTCTGCCCTTTCCAGTGTACGTCCACCTGTCAGAATTTAAGTACTTGCCCGGCGAGTTTATCTCTTCAACTCTTCTGTAAGTTTCTTGCCCAAAGATCATGTCTTTCTTATTCAGCACAAATCCCCAGGACCAAGCACATTGCGGGTACACGGCAAACACACTAAGAAAGATGAACGATGTGACAGGGAGGGGACAGGATAACAGAGAGGAACGGATTCAAGACCTCCATGTAGTCCCACATCTGCAAAGTTGGACAGACTCCTCGTGCTCAGCAGTGGAATGGGTCTAGCAGCATCCATCTGTCTTGTAGTAAGGAGGCAAAGACGAAAAGAATGAATGAAATCAAAGGTGGTAAAAAAAAAAATGACCAGTGCTTGGTCTGAGGCCAAGCCCTAGGGTGATAGTGTCACAGCTGTACCCACAGAAGGGTCTTGAGTCTGCATCCGAGACCTCCCGGCATGTCAGTAGTGTGTCTGGAGTGTGTCTGGCCGAGCCTGGAGTTGGAGTGCAGGGTGCATACCCTGTCCGAGGGGACTCTCTCATCTCTCTCTCAGAGGAAATAAACACATAAGCTTTTTTATTAAAAAAAAAATAGTCAAATAATTGTTTAATACTACTTCACGTCTAAAAATCAGGGCTTCATGTTGGTAGATCCAAAAGGCTGACTATATTTAAGTGATGCCGGGTAATCTCCAGAAGTAGATGGGAGGATACAGGCTAGACCACTGAGCAGAGCTTTGAGGGATCAGCAAGCCGGCCACTCCTTCATCTCCCAGCTACCCAGTAAGGGCCAGGAAGGCTGGTTCTCCTGCAGGCTGAGCCAGTTCCTCCTGACCTTAGAGGATTTCTCACCCTCTGGGGTAGAAAACGCTCCCCTGGAGCAGCTCTGGCTGTGTAGCTCTTATAACGGAATTTACAGGCCTCACCTGTCCATCCTGAGGGCCCGTACCTCTTACTTCTGAGCTTCAGTAAACTCCCCCTTGAATTGAAAGGGAGATCTCTTCCCTCCCTTCTCTGGGTGTTACAAAGACAGAGGAGATAAGATGCAAGTCATATTGCTTCTTTCCAGGAAAGTGCCGTGTGGCTTCCAGGAATGGTCTATCGTCACTATCAGGAGCATCATTATCTGTAACTGTATTCCATTAGGGAAGTCGGAAAGGTTGTAGAGAGACCAACTGCCCTCAGGAGGCCTGGGAGAGCTGGCTGGCCTGTAATTCCCTCCCCGCTAAGAAGCTCAAATCCCCTCAGGAAATGCGTCCTCCTGACTGTTCCATAGAAAAGAAGGCTGGGGCCAGCTGGTGGTGTGGGGTCGAAGTGACTGAATCCCACATGGCTGACTGTAGTGGCTTGAGTCCTAGACCCTGTGACGTGAAAAACACCCTAGGCTCATGTGCTTGTGTGCCCAAAATCCCAAAAGGAAGGAAAGGACAGATTGGAGAATGACCATCTCCTGCGGAGGGTGCAGTGCCACTCTCCCCCCTTCTCTCTGCTTCTCTGAACCCGTGCACCCTCTAGCAAATGAAGACCAACAATAGAAGTTGTGCTGCTTCGCCTTTACGGTTTGAAATGAACAGCGGAGGGCTGCCATGGGAGCAGCTCAGCGGCCATCTGCCTGGTGGGAGCATGCACTTCATGGGTGGACCCAGCCAGGGCACCGCAGTCCTCGCCAGAGAGCAGGCATCACCCTCCGCGGAAGCACCAAGGTCCTGGCCAGGTTCTTCTCCCTCGGCATCAGCAGCACATCGTGTCAGTGAGGCATACATCCAACCGACGTCTTGGCTTCAGTGCAGAAACGCAGACTCGCCTTGCTTGTAACCACCGACCCCGACCTCATGAAATGTCTAAATAATGAAATGGAGCGACTGAAAAATCGGTTATCCAAGTATTCAGCTCAGAAACTGGAGGTCATCTCAGATACCGAAAGTGGTGAGGCTCTTGAGAGATGGCAGTTGGGTGTTAAGTATGACAAGTCTGGAAAGACGACAGTGCGCCCAGAGACAAGTCTCAGAAAGCTAATCAGAAATCCTCCCCGCGCTCACACGGGTAACGGCCGCAGTGACATCACTGCCACTGTTGGAAGTTTCATCGGATCTGCCGATTTATGCAAATGTAGATTCGATTGCACCTGCAAATGGGAAGAGTGAGGACCACACCAATCCGAGGGGCTCCGTCTTCGTTCATTTACGACTACAATCCACAGGGTCGATAGCGTGGTGGCCTACAAAATCCTCATCGACGACTGGGAATGATATGAAGGAAATAATGTAATCGGAACATTCCAGTGTGGAGTCCTGAAATCAAGTCAATTGCAGTTGATATTCGATTCCATTGTTTACTTTTAAATGGAGGGACATCAACATTAGACCTGACTGAACTCTGAGTGACTCTTCCGTTTTTTGGTCCCTGTTTGTTACCGTAGTGTCGACATAATGGGTTTGTTGCTCATTGTTCAAAAGAGACTAGATTTTGCCAGCACCGGTCAGTTCCTTCGAAGGTGAGAACCGTAGATGGAGACACTTTTGCTTTAAAGCGCAGTGCTTTTCCAAATCAGACGCTTCAGTCAAGTACTTTGACTTGTAGACAGGAAAATATTTAAATATAAGAATGACAGCAAAGGATTCTGTATATTCAGAAGCTTTGTTTAAATCTTAAAGTAAGGATCCATAGGTAACTACTCTATCAGGTCTTTTCATCATGTATTTCATAGTACCTACAGTTCCTGCACTAAAAAAAGTGTGGTTATTTATGTAACAAGCTTATAAAGACATGGGTTTCTACTGCTTCGTTTCTGGTGATATAGAATGCTTAAGAAATGTTTTGGTTTGTTTTTTTTTTTGAGGGGGGGGGTGGGGACCAGCCAGTGGTGTGGTGTTTAAGGCGGCTGGATCCCGCAAGGCCGATTGCATGTCTTAAGTCTCAGATGCAGCAGCTTGGAAAACCCCCCAGGCACGTGTGCGTTTGTGCGTCCGGAATCACGGGCGGAAACGTGGAGAGGTGATGGTGCGGCCGTCTCCCCGGGGGTGCTTTCTCCCTCTCCCTCTCTCTTTCCTTTCTCTGTCTCTCTCCAGTGAGTGTACATGCCCTACAGCATATTTAACAGATGATGTTCTAAAAACCCAACTTGAAATAACAATAATGAAATAAAGTTAATGTGTATATATATATTTATTTTTTAAAGGACCACCAAGTGTAAGAACAGGATGAGAAACTGGCCCGGCTGTGGAACCAGGAGCCGGGAGCCCAGGGTTAATGGTACACGTCTCACACCAGTCTCAGAAACCTCGGAGCTGATAGGATTCCTGAATGGGGTTTGATCCGGACGGTGCTGACCACAGGCTGGTGGCCTTCCGCTGACAGAGAAGGGTGAGCCAGCCAACTCAGCTAGTGCAATACCTGGACCCAAATGGCAGAAACAGGCTTCTGGTATGGAGAGACCTCGTTCTGCTACGGTCTAGTGAAGTGCATGTGAAAATCGTGTCCTAAGCCCTCCCTTGTAGATGCAGCGTTGAACTAGACTACAGAGAAGTGAGAAGGGAGTATTCGGAGTGATTCCCCCCAACACCCCCTTTTTCAATATGCTCTAACTGGCTGTTGCTAATTCAAATCCTCTCTTAGAGAGGTTCGCCCTTGTTACATGTTCTGAAATGCATCTCTTCTGTGGTTTTGACATGGGTGTCTAAAACTTTGAATCACAAAGATGTTTTTCTGAACAAGTCACAGGAAAATCGGACTCAAATGGCTTCAACAATAGAAAACGAGTCTCATGAATTAGTAAGTCCAGAGATCAGATCCCAGGTTAGCGCATGCGGTGGCTTCACAGCGGGATCAGGGACTGAGTCTTTGTTTCCATCTCTCTGCTCTGCCATCCTCAGAGCCCAGGCTCTGCTTGGGAGGGCTGCTGCATGATTACAGGTTGGCTCCGTCAGGCTAGTTGTCACAGGCAGAACCTGCGATGGGCTGAGGAACAGAAGGCCTTTGCTCCTGCATGTCTTCTGTAGGGTTGAGAAGACCTTGCTGGGAAAGCCTCCAGCTGACATTGAAGGGGCTTGCTGCACTCATTGGCAGACGATGAAATGACCCGCGTTGGCATCGACCAGCAGATACACCTGTACCCCTTCCCTGTGCCTTGAAGAGAGAAATAACAGGATTGCCGTTACAGGCCACGTTTCTGCTGGATACTTCCCCTAGTTATGTTCCTTAAGGCTCTTAGAGGAGGCTGGGAAGTGCTGCAGAGGCCAAATACAACATTCGCTGAGGCTGTGGAAGGTTCTGGGTTTGCACCCTGAGACCACCCTGAGCACCCCAGATGCATACACACCCATGGTCTAGGGCTTGCTAAAGCTGGGGTGCTGTCTCTCTGTCTCTGTCTTCCTGTCTCTCTCACTCATGGAAGAAATAAACTTAAAAAAAAATTGCAGAAATCATTTTCTCTATTTTCCAAATGAAGAAATTGCAGCTCAGAGTGGTAATAGGACGTGCTCTAAATCCCACCACTAGTAAGCAGAGGAAAGGGATGGGGGTCCAGGTCCATCCAAAGCTTTGCTCTCTGCTCCTCCAGGCTGGCTCCTCGGCTCGGCCCAAGGCTAGAGCCAAATGGACAGGAGCCTTCCGCAGCGCGGGAAGCACCAGTCGCAAAGTAGCCTCCCGCGCTTTGATCAAGTTGAGACTTCTCTGCTCAGCAGTCAGACTGCCTCCCACAGCTCCCAGCCTGGATGTGTGTTCTGCCAGTCAGTCCAAGGCCGCAGGCTGCCTCCTCCACTCCCACCGAGGCTGCTCCACACCCATCTCCTCGCTCTTCTTCAAGCCAGAATGGAGTGCCTGTCAAGGCAGTCCCTGGCCTCCCACCCAGGCCCCTGGAGGTCCTCTTCAGTGGCACACCCGTGGCCTTCTGCTCATCCCCTCTCTGCTCTGTACTGTGTGTTCTCTTGTCTAAGAAGAACGAATTTGTTTCCTTCTGGATCCTATGTTCAGTGCTCGGCTCACGACAGACACCCAATCAACGTTTAATGAATAAATGAGAGCAAAGGGCACCTCTTATTCCTTGGCATCCCTAGTGGCACTCAGCCTGCTGCTGAGCACATGGCTGAGCACTAATGGACTCAGTGGATTTGGGCTAATTTCTTCCCCGGGCGGAACACACAAAGAAGCTGGTGTGACCCTGGTCAGCGCGGAGGAGGCCTTCAGCAAATGGCCCTGTGAGCCTACATTTGTCTGTAGCGTAAACTCATTTAGACAGATAGAGCATATGAGCCCCTGACTTGAGGGAATCACTTAGTTCCCTATGGGGAGTGTTGGCAAGCTCATTTCCTCTTCCCAGGGGGAAAAACAGCAGAGGCTTTTGAGAACCTGTGGGCCGCAATTTGATTTACACATTGACTCAGCTGTGTCTCAGGAAGCTGCCCTGGGAGTCCTAGACAGGGGGCTTGGTGGGATGAAGGGATGGTGTCTGGGATGAGGACTGCTCTGGCCGGGGGTGTCTGCTGGGGCCGCCTGGCTTCTGATAGATTCCCCCGGTCAGTGCGCCTCTCCAAGGCATCTTCATTCCTTCCTGGTGGCTTTCAGGATTAACTGCACTCCGCTCACTCCGCGGGCTGGTTTCTCTAGGTACTGACCAGATATTTTGCTTTTATTCCCAAGACTAACCATAGTCTCCATGAAAAGAGCTCCATTTGATTATCTGCAGAATTAGGAGGAGCGGAAGGGTCCTCCTGGTGTTGCTAAAAGAAGTATCAGAAACAGTGATTCGTAAAGAAAACAGAGGCTCATTTGCCAAAATATAAGATTCTGCTAGCCGGAGGGTGCAAAGGCATCACAGAATGGCGGCGGGCAGAGCTTTCAGCAGGGCCGAGCACGGGCTGTGTCCATGTCGTTCCCTCTCGTCCTGGTCTCACTCCTTCTGCTTTTAAACGCCCCAGCCTTCAACCACAGGGCCTGTTGTAATGACGCAGAGATCCACCCTGGGACACCACAAAGGGGTTAGGTTTTCATTTCCCACCTATACAGCATAACCATGTCTGAACACATGAATTCCAGGAGGTATCCAGACTGTAGCAGAGGGAGTAGGGGAGTGAAGGCTGCAGGTGGTTACTCAGGGACGCCTCTGAAATCACTTCCAGAATGTTCTTTTAAAAAACTTTTTTGCTATAGGGCTCATGCGCTCACCAGAGAGACGGAGAGTCGGGGGAGCAGGGGGGTGAGAAAGACCCCTTGGGGGATGGCCATGTTGCAATCCCTTCTCTTCCATTCTCTTGGGATTTGGAGTATGTACACATATGTGCCTGGTGTAATTTTTCAAGTGCCAGGTCCAGGACTTGAACCACACAGTCAGCCACGTGAGATCCAGCGCCTTGACCACCCACACCACTTGGGGGTCCTCCAGCATGTTCTGAAGTTGCTGAGAATGGCAAAGAATGACTACTGTGGCAGCCAGGTGAAGTGTTTCATCCAGAAGATGTTGATAGACTTAGATTCGTTTTGCCTTCAGGGTTTGATCAAGACAAAAGCATGAAGCAGCATCAGCGTCTCAAGGTTTCTGGGTAACTGAATCTTCCTCGGAGTGCTGCTGTGCGGGTTAAGTGAGTCCGTGCTCATGAAGGGCTTGGAAACCTGTCCAATGTGTAGAAACCCTGCCCCCCCCCATTGATGGCGTATTTAGCTACTTCTGCTAGAAAGAGGGGGAGACGAACAAGCATCCCAAATGGAGTCCTCATGCCACTGTTCTGCCCCGCCTCGGCCAACCCACGCAGTGGACTCACGTGTGCACCTGGCTTACAGAGGACGGCCCTCAGGGGTACAGCAGGGACCTCCCGTGTGGGTCCAGTTGTACAGCCACTGTGCCACCGGTTGGCCCAGGCACTCCCTTTTGAAGGATTAGCTGCTCTGTCTCTCTTTTCTGTTCTTTATTATTTTTCTTTATTTTTTTTGAAAGATTTTTGCTATCGGTACAAGTACTTGCAGAACAGACAGAGGGAGAGAGAAAGAAAGTGAAAAATCACTCTCCGAGGGGGGCGGACACTCCATAAGCCCTTTATTCTCCTCTTAGGATTTTGGGCAGGCACGCACACACCCCTGGTGTGAGTCTCAAGCTGCTGGGTCTGGGACTTGAACCGCAGTCAGCCATAACCACTATGCCACCTGCTCTTTTTGCCCCCACCCCAGTCAGAAACCCAGAGCCTTTTCTGCCCTCTTTCTTCCCCTCAGACGTGGCCTTCTCATGACTTGGCCCCAGCCCTCGGCAAGATGGACTGGCCAAAGAACAGCTGGGTCTGCAACATGCGAGTAAAGACCCGGGTTTGAATTCTACTCTGTGCTTCGTGGCTGCTGACCTGGCATTGTCTCTGGCTCCTGTAGGCTTAGTTTCTGGTCTTTTTGAGTGACAGCAACATCATTCAGAGTTGGACATGGACAAAGTGTGTATGGACTAAGCCCGGCTACCACAGACCTCGGCAGGCCGTGATGGTTAGGAACGGAGCCCTCGGGCTCTGGGCTGTGCACTCCGTCCGGTGCGTCTGGCACAGAAGGTCTCTCGCTGTTTCCTTTCCGCCACACCGTCGCCACCTTTCCCATAGTCTGTGGCTTTTATCAAAAGAGATAATCAATGAATCGAAGTACATGAGGCAAGAGTGAATGTTCGGGAATTTGTCGTGGGCAGAGGAGGTACTTGGGAAGACAATGGAGGTCCGTGGGCCCTGGAAGTCCCAGGGCGCGGCTCAGAGCAGGCTGGAATGCCCTGTCAAAGCGCTAGCTCCCAGTCGGGATGGAAGGGGGGAGGCGGGAGGCAGCCGGGGAACCCATCCAAAATGGCAGCTTGAGAGGAAGTAGCTGCTGCCTATTCTGGAACCTCTCAGAGCAGTGTTTAGAATGTTCTCTCTCATTAATCCTATTTAAAGCCAGGCTGCTGAGAGGGGAGGCGGGAGTCCTGTTTCAACTTGCAGAGGTGAGGTTCCTTGCTGTCTGCCGCAGGGCTGAGCTGCGCAGGGCTGGGAGAGGCAGGGGCCTTCCTCAGGCCCCAGGAACACAGCCCTGCTGGGCCTCCCACCCCACATGGGGCTGGCCCACTGTGGCCACCTCTGCTGGGGAAGAGGCAGCTAGCTGAGAAGGCAGGTGTGGCTGCAGCCTGGCTGCCCAGGTAATAAAGCCGTGCTGAAGAAAGGCCACTGGCCAGCAACTCGGAGGTGGGGGAGGGTGACAGGGAGAGGAAGTTCTTGGGCCAGAGTGTTTTCCAGGAAAGCCCCTCTCCCTCAAGGCACAGGGAGGCCTCGAACACTCATTTCCTGTTTCTCTTCTCATAGGAGAACGGGCTCTAGGGAGAGGAGCCCCTCATTTGAAGGGGAAAAGTACGAGTGAGCCCTTCACGGACAATGCAGAGACACAAATGGCTCCCAGCCCCTGTGGCACAGGCAGCAGGGGACAGACCGCAAGGCTGGAGGCTGCCTCCGATCACGGTTTGAGTCTCTGGCCTGGTAGGTCTAAGAACACACCAGGTACGTGCTCAGGGGTGCTCAGGGGCCCGGGATCCTGGTGGGCTGGGGAACAGGAGAAAAGGAGAAAAGGGACTCTGTGGAGAATGGGAAATGGGTCTCCCTCTCCTTCCTTCCTTTCCCTTTCTTTCTTTTCTCTTTTTTCTTTCTTCTTTTTTTCCCTTTTATTCTTTCTTTGTCTTTCTTTTTCTTTCTTTCTTTCTTTTTTTTTCTTTTCTTTTTTTTTCTTTCTTCCTTTTTTTTTTTCTCTTTCTCTTTCTTCTTTCTTTTTCTTCCTTTTAATGTTGTCAGAGAGGGAGGAGAGAGAACGCGCCCCTGCTGGAGTGTGGCCATGCTGCAGTCCTTCTCCACCCTTCTGTCTGTCAGGATGGGGCACGAATGCGCTCATGGCTGGTGTGTTTCTCAAGCTACTGGGGGTTTAAACCATGTGGCTGACCTTGGGGGGTCTGACTCCCTTAACTACTAGGCAAGCCTGGTTCTGTCTCTCTCTCTCTCATGTTGTATCATGCATTACTACAAATAATAATAAGAATAAGAATATGGCTTTATTTCTAGGAGGCCAAAATGACACTTCTTTTTCTAAGTATGTCCCTGTAACTGAGAGTCAATGCTTGAGTTTCACCTTTGGGCAAGACAAGTTTTTTCAGTGTTGTCTGCAGACCAGAGGTCAGGGGTGGCTCTGACAGTACGTGACCATGGACGAGTCATTAAATATCGGCTGGCATAGCCATATGGTGGAGAGACCCCCAGCCCTACCTCACTGGGTTATCGAGACCAAACGAGGCAAACCATAAGTCAGCTGCGCACACAGGACAGGTGCACCCCTCCCATTCCAAGGTGCTGGCTCCCTGGTATGGACCTCAGTAATGGCTCTTACTTGCCACCAAGAATTCCACAAAAT